TTCTTTTTTAGAAAAAAAATAGTAATTCCCCTATAGCTTGTAGTAAAAATAGTAGCTGGGTTTTCAGCATGTGCATTATTATTATTTATAATCATTTACAGCAACAGGGAAATTACTATTATTTATCAGCATTTACAATTGTACCAATGTGAGGTGTTTGACCTCTTGGGTGTTGAGAGCAGCTAAACAATACATTTATCCGACATTTTACCCTGATGAGTAGAATTATATGTATGCCTTATTTATCTATCTTAATGTGGTTTGAAAATGAAAATGAAAATGTAGAATGAAGAGTTTGATCGCATCCCACTGATTCCAAATTTGATGCCAAATCACCCTAACCAAAAGATGTCTCTTTTTCGAGAAAAATGATTGATCTTGGACTTCTATTTCTCCTTCTAGACTAGAGATAAAAGCCACTGGTACAACTCTCTCTCTAATCTCAAAATTCATCCTTTGACTTTTTCCTTTCCCTAACTGAACTGCAGTTGCAAAAGCCACCAAAGGTGATTCTAAGGTTCACTAAGGAGGAGATACACCCAAGAGTAAAAAGAGTGTCTTTTCTCTTTCCTTTCTTGTAGGTTGTTGGGTTCAAAACTTGGAAATCAGTGTTGGAGTTCTTGTACAATAACCTTTGAGAAGGAGCCCAAACAGAAGAATAGTAGGGCTTGTCTCCTCAACTTCTTGTTTTGAGTTAGTGACGAATCCAATAAAAGATAATGCTGTCAGCCGTCAAAGACACACACTCTGTAGTTGAAGTATGGATTTGCTAACCTTCCTCTACATTGTTGAATGCAGTCTTCTAATCATCTAACACTAATTCAAGTTAAACTAAAATCGCTTGAAGGAAGGAAGCCTGAGTCTGAAGCGTCTCTAGTTCATGGATCATATGCCTCCACTCCAGTCAACGAGTTTGATATTCACTAAGTTTTATCATCTTGCAATAAAACACATCATTGACAATACGCAGAAGACATGAAATGAGTAAATTAAGAATAGAGAAAAGGTCACTCTTTAATGATATGAAAAGGTGAAAGCACTGGTCCCAGTATGGTTCCTTGATACCATATCACATAAGCACCCAGGTACGAATACGTCAATCTAAAGCAAGATAACAAAATACATAAAGGATAAAGATAAGATATCATTAATAAGGTATAACTAGAAAAATATGTTTGGTAGTAATGCCGATGTTGATGCTAAATCTAACATTCTTTATGCTTTACAATTACTGGGCATTGAAATTGAAGATAAGAATCCCAAGAACAATGAACTCTACGATGCATGGGTGAATTATCTCAACAGATGTTGTTAGAATACGTTCACTTAGTAAAACAAGTAGCCAGTTTTTCTTGATATTTACCATCCCAAAGCACAACAAATAATGTTGTACCTTAGGAATGTATATCATCTGTAGTCTTGGAAACTAGTTGATCGCCCAATTTTCATTAATCATGCTTTTATCATCCTTTTAATTCCATTGTGGATCTAGAATCAAGTCCCAAAGCCTCAAGGTCCCCCCAACAAGAACAGGATTTTATATTTAGGGATTGTCTACAAAGAGACCACTTATCTTTGTACATGGAGGTAACAATCCCTCCCACTCATTAGATGCCAAATTGGAAGGCTTGGGGAGAGTCACAAAGCCTGAGATTTTTTTATTTGGAACTTTGTGTCTATTCAATGACACTCTTACAACTACCCATTTTGAAATTTAAAGGACAAGAATGATTGTGACCTCTATGTACAAAAGATAAATGGTGTATTTGTAGATAATCCCTTACATTTATCTAACATTATTAGAAACTGATAAAATGAAAATAAATTGCCATATCATTAATTGCCAATTGAATGAATCAATATGGGCTCATGTTTTTGTTGGCTTCTACGAAGAAGTGGAACATTTGCCAGGGGACTTCTCTAACCTAACCAAATTTAGTATGCAAGTCTGAAAGTTGCCTATAAGGTTTTAATGGGGGATCAAAGTGCATGCTTTGAATGCTTTTGTCCCTTCATTGCATATGATGGTTTGAGAAAGAGCTTATTATACTAGACTTCAATTTTACTTTCCTGTTATTTCAAGTTATATCAAAAAGGGTAAGGGGTAGGCCTTAAAAGACATGGTTGGAAGAGTGAAAAAAAATATGGAGACTTATGGCCTCACTGAGGGTATGACCCTTAACAAAGTAGAATGGCAGACCAGGATTTGTATATCCGACCCTAATTAATTAGGAAAAAGATCTAACGATGACGATGATGATGTTACTTCAGGTTATGATTGAAGATCACCAAGCTTAAGTTATTCATCTTGATGAATGGCATTGAGAAAAAACCTAAAACGTGCCTATTCCACTATGAATGATTTGAGAGAGGTAAATAGACTCTATCTACATAAAAATGTGAAGATAAAAAAGAGGCATCACAGCATATCAAGTAACTGTGCTACCAACGTTCTGAAATCTACAGAGGTCAAAAACCAGACAGTTGTCCAAACTAATTACTCAAAAAAACGTACTGCAGGTAGAACATGAGAAGCGGCCTTTCCAATTTTATCCTGTTCAAACACTGGTTCAACAGGTTGGTCTACTTGAATGTATAGAATGGAACACAAATGCAGGGATTTCTGGATCAAATGGTCGGTTTACTGTTTCAATCCAGATTTTTCAAACAAGATTTTGATTAATCAAAGAGGTTTTGGCCCCAGTTCCCAGTCCAACTAGTTGAACCAGGTGATCTGTTCCAGATTCAAAATTCCAAACTTATTTCAAAGTTCTATATCACTTCAATCCATAAACAAATGTAATAAAAGTAAATTTACAAGCCAAATACTCTTAAGAAGCTAACAAACCCATAGTCATCCACAAATTTGAGAAAATCATTAATGACCTTGATGGATTCCCATTGAACATAAAGGCGTCCGAGAAAATTCAATCTGATAAAAGCCTAGCCAAGTCTTTAGCCTCATTTTATGTATCCACTAATGCCATGAGAGGCAAATCCCTTTCCCTCACCAAATCACATAAAGGGAAGACCCTCGATGATGAAAGGCCTCAAGGAGCTCCAAGGCATTTCAGGCTCTTCAAGAATGCTGAACTACTGCCAACAAAGTAATCATAATATTCAATACCATGAAACAGTGAAGCAGTATGCCACTCAACCTTAAGCCTCCCCCATTTACTAGACATGGCTCCTTCAGATGTGTGCACAGTACTTGAGAAATGGATCATTCTTCGCTTGGAAGATTTGTTGAAAGTTGCTTAAAATACACCCCATATGAAATAAAGAATCGGAGCCAACGCAGTGAACTACACATGAGGCAGGTCATATGCCACTACAATGCAACATTTGGAGACCTACTCTGTGCCAAAATGAGTACAGACATGCATATCGAGGGGATAAATGTGAGGCTAGCGGGTCCAAATGGAGCATCATGCAAATTATATTTGTAATGATAACAAAATATACACACTTAAAATATTACTATTGCAAAATAAAAGTATCATACCAACAAATTTAGTTAAGGAACAAGTATAGTACAACCCATATGATTATAGTAACAGTGTGGTCATAGGGGTCATCACCATCTCAGCTGAGGTGGAGGAATTTGGGTTCCACCAAACTTGTGAATGAGTCAATTCCACATCACAGTCTCCCTTCACCACCATCCAACCCAATGACTACATTCTTAGCATCGTCAGATTTTCATAGTATAGCCTCGCGTTAACAAGTCAACGTAAAACAATATTAAGGGCATGCATAATGTGCTCCTGTAGGAGCATACTATATGCTATCTCCCTCAAGCAAAACAACTACTTTAGGATGATTCATTCGGGGTGGAATTTGGGAATCACTTAAGAATCACCAAATGGGTAATCAAAAAAAAAAGAAAAAAAGATAAGACGATTTTGAATTCTTGAACACCAAGATCTGATTTTCCAAAAAATGGACGGTTTGTGTTCAATCCTAGGGCATGAATTTTCCATCCAGTTTTAGAGGTGTTTCCTTTTTTTGAGAGGTTGGTTGCCAAGTTGAGTAGGTTGCATCCCCGAATTTGGGGTCCTAAAAATGTTCATATCTAGGGTTTTGCCTGTACAATTTGCTGCTGTGGGAGCATATAACATTACTCCTAACATCAATATAATACTTTTATTAGGTGATCATTGAATATTAATATAATATTCTTATAAGGAAATTACTCTTAGCATGGTGCGGGTACCTTATCTTGGGAATTTGAATTGTTGATGTGTGAAGGACCCAAGTCCCGTACTGAGTAGACAGATAGCGATGTGGATTCAACACTGTACAGACTCCAACTTGCAAGTTGCCTACGAAAAGAAAGCATTTGAATGTTACTGACTAAGGGGGCTCCTGTTAACCATAAATTACGAGTTTCTTCACTTCAATTGTTATTCAATTATGATTTAAACGGAATTCTGAATATCTTTTCACTGATTCAGCCATATCTGAATAAGGTTGGACAAAATAGACTGCATCGGTCAACCCAATTTGCACAATAATTCATGGATAGTATGTGAGCTATGAAAAACAAAAACTATGTACCACTTAATCTTGCCTTAGATAAAGTATCATAAATCACATCACAAGGTCTCAAACCCAGTTTTAACATTTCATCCAATAAGGCACTAGCCTCTTGCCATTTCCCTTCCTTACAAAGAACATTAATGGTCAGGCTAAAACTTGCAATGTTGGGAACCATGCCACTGTGCCTCATGTCCTTGAGCAACTTCAGAGCTCTATAGGCGTTGTCTTCTTTGCAATAACCATTGATCAAGGTATTATAAATCACATCATTGGGCTTCAGTTTTATCTCATGCATGGATCCAAATAGTTTCCTTGCATCCTTCATGTTGCCTTTCATGCACAAACCATGTATCAGTACACTATAAGTGTACAAATCTGCCACAAATCCAGCCTTCTCCATTAAGCCATGCAATTCAAAAGCTTTCTCCATGTTGTTCACCCTACATGATGCATCTATTAGTGATGTGAATGTAAATTTATCAGGAGCGAGGCCTCTAGCCTGCATTTCTTGAACAAAGTTAGCTGCTTCTACTAGTTTTCCAGCTCTACCAAAACCAGAAACAATAATATTATAAGTCACCAAATCTGGGGAAGGACCTCTAGATTTCATACGGTCCAAGAACCTCTGAGCCCTTTCCAGCCTACCCTCTTTGCAAAACCCCGCGATAAGAGAATTAAAAGTAAAAGACGTGTGTTTCAAACCAGCTTTCTTAATTCTTTTTACCACTTTCTCGGCTTCCATCAATCTACCTTCTTGACACAGGCCATTTATAAGTATGTCATATGTGATAATATTTGGAACTACCCCTTTCTCTCTCATCTCTCTAAGCAAATCAAAAGCTCTAGATATATTACCAGTTTTGCAGCGAGAATCAATCAGACAATTGTAAGTGAACACATTTGGGAGAACCCCATGTCTCTTCATCTCCATAAAGAGTGCAGAACCCTGCTTCATTAGCCCCTTTTTGAAGAACCCATGAATCATAGAAGTATAAATATATTCATTGGGGGTTAAATTCCTCTCCTCCATCTCATGATACAATCTCTCAGCCCCCTTTATATCACCAATCTTACAAAACCCATCAATAAGAGTTGCATAAACAACAACATTAGGTATTAAATTATGCTCTTTTAACTCTGAAAACAGAACCATAGCTCTGCCCAAATCAGCATTTTTGCAGAAACCCCGGATCATAATACCAAAACTGTAAATATCAACACCAATCTTTTCTTTAATTTGATTAAATACAGTACAGGCCTCAGCAAAGCAATCAAATTTCACCAAAGAATTCAAAAGAATATTGCTACAAGTTCGAGTTGGCAAGAGATTGCTACCAATCAATTCATTAAAATTATGGAGTGCAGCTTTAGGCATTCTAGAATGGGACTGGGCCCTGATAACCATGTCGAAGACAGTTTTCGTGAAATGGGTTTCAACATGACCATTTGTTTCATGCAGCAAATGGTGAAGAAGAGTAGAGAGAGAAAAATGAGAAGATAAATCACCTGCAACTAGTTGGTGGATGAGAGTCTGAGCTTCAGTAAACATGGTGGCTGAGATGAAGGTGTATAAGAGAGCTGAGGCTGATTCATGGGTGTGATGGAAGCCATGAAAGCTTACAGAGTTGAAGATGGAGGGGATCTGTGAAGGTGGGCTTTTCACCATTTTCAAAAGGAGATGAAGGGCATGAGGATGGTTGTTGAGCATTTCTACACACTACAAAGTAAAAGGCCTGTTTGACAACTGGAAGTCGGTAGTTCCCTGGAAGCTAGAAGTTTTGGTTCCCTGAGAAGATAGATGACCTAGCTCCTTGTACCAGAAAATATTGTGTTTGATAACTTCTCTGAAATGTTAAGGGAGCCCGGAAACCTGTGTTTGACACCACCTGGAAGTTCTCATACCTGGAGACACGGTAATTAGCCAGTTTAATTCATAAATTTAGGTAATATTAGTTCAATGAATGAGAATTTCATAGGTAAGTCATCACACTCAAAACAAATAATTCCATAGGTGAGTCATGATAGATCTAACAAGAAGAATTTTTCAGAACCCCACAAAAAGTGAAAAGAATAACATGCAGTCAAACAATTTGGTGCATGACCGAGTAATCCCAAGCAGCCAAATTATCTCATGGGATGTCAGCAAATATGATATCCTGTTTGATATTTTTTTTAACTGGACAGTTTAAGACCAAAAAAAGGAATAACACAACCTAAAGTTCAAAACATCCACCTTGAGGTCCCTAATAAATTATCTTTGGATAGGTGAACCTCAAAATATATTTTAACCCATAGAACAGCCCAACTTCAAAAAATATGCTTGGCCTTTATTATCTTCAAAATGTGCAAGGGTAAAAATAGACCAACTCCAAAAAACTGATCTCTACAATCGGAAACTTAGTAGTGCATGCATGGCCCATATGGCAAGAACATTCAACAGTATTGCCAATTACATAATTACAAAAACATCTAAGCCCCAAGAAACACACACGCATCATCTACAGTGTATTAGGAAATCCAATGGTATAGAATCAGTGAGAAAGAGCAAAACAGCACCAAAAGAATAATCCAGAAACCTCAAGTAAAACACCACAAGTATCAAAGTGCCTCAGATACCTTCCATTTCATAGTTAAACACAACGTATATTTAAACCCATCATAGGCGCTGTATGAAACCCATCATAGGCGCTGTATGAGGCAAATCATAAAGGATTGTATGCAATAAAAAAGAAATTGAAACCTGATCCAATCAAGATGTGAAGTTAAACAGAAGCACTATGAAGTGAATGAATTATGAAGCAAAATAAATAACATACTAGCCATTAGAATGCCCTCTATTCCCAAAACAGTTAAATTAGGAAAAAAAAACTCTAAAAATTTCAGAAGAACTAGATTTATTAACAGAAAATTTGTCAAATTTGTCTCTCAAAAATAAAGCTAAAAAAACAAATAAATGCTTTAACTGAAAAAGAAACTGATGAAGAAACTTAATAATCCAATGATGATTTTGAAATATCCTACAAAGAAGAATACTTTGAAGCTAATCCTAAAAATGAAAAATATATCTATGCCTTTTCCAGACCCAATCCTATAATTCAAACAGTTAGACCAAAAAACTATTATAAAAGACCAATTCATACAATTACACAAATATCAAAGCCCAAACAAACACACACTCATCATAGGCACTGTATTAGAAAATCCCAAGGGCATAGAACCAGTGGGAAAGACCAAAAGAATAATCCAGCCAACTCAAGCAAAACACCACTAGTATCAAAGTGCCTCGGATACCTTCCATTTCATAGTTAAACTCAAAGTATATATAAACTAATCATAGGCATTGAATGAGGCAAATCATAAACGATTGTATATGATAAAAAAGAAATTGACACCTGAACCAATCAAGATGTGAAGTTAAATAGAAGCATTATGAAGTGAATGAATTATTGAAGAAAAGTAAATAACAGACTAGCCATTACAATGGCCTCTTTTCCTAAAAGGGTTTAATTAGAAAAAAAATCCTTTAAGAAATTCAGAAGAAGTAGATTTATTAACAGAAAAATGTCGAAATTGTCTCTTAAAAATAAAGATAAAAAACAAATAAATGCTTTAACTGAAAAATAAACTGATGGCGAAACTTCAGAATGCGATAATGATTTTGAATTATCTTACAGAGAAGAATACTTTGAAGATAATCCTAAAAATGAAAAATATATCCATGCCTTTTCTAGACCCAATCCTAGAACTCAAACAATTAGAACAAAAACTATTATAAAAGACCAACTCACACAATTACACAAACATCAAAGCCCAAAGAAACACACATGCATCATAGGCACTGTATTAGGAAATTCCAAGGGTATAGAACCAGTGAGAAAGAGCAAAACAGCACCAAAAGAATAATCCAGAAACCTCAAGTAAACACCACTAGTAACAAAGTACCTCAGATACCCTCCTTTACATAGCTAAACTCATAGTATATTTAAACCCATCATAGGTCCTGTATGAGGCAAATAAGGAAGGATTGTATGCAATAAAAAAGAAATTGAAACCCAATCAAGATGTGAAGTTAAATAGGAGCACCTTGAAGTGAATGAATTATTGAAGCAAAATAAATAACAGACTAGCCATTACAATGCCCTCTATTCCTAAAATGGTTAAATTAGAAGAAAAAAAAAAAAACCTATAAAAATTTCAGAAGAAGTAACATTTATTACCAGAAAATTTATTGAAATTCTCTCTTAAAAATAAAGATAAAAAACAAATAAATGCTTTAGCTGAAAAAAAAAAACTGATGAAGAAACTTCAGAATCTGATAATGATTTTGAATTATTTTACAAAGAAGAATACATTGAAGATAATCCTAAAAATGAAAGATATATCTATGCCTTTTCCAGACCCAATCCTATAACTCAAACTGTTAGAACCAAAAACTATTATAAAAGACCAACTCACACAATTACACAAGCATGAAACACACACACATCATAGGCACTGTATTAGGAAATCCCAAGAGTATAGAACCAGTGAGAAGGAGAAAAACAGCACCAAAAGAATAATCCAGCCAACTCAAGTAAAACACAACTAGCATCAAAGTGCCTCAGATACCTTCTATTTCATTGTTGAACTCAAAGTATATTTAAACCCATCATAGGCACTGTATGAGGCAAATCACAAAGGATTGTACGCAATAACAAAGAAACTGAAACCTGAATCAATCAAGATGTGAGCATTATGAAGTGAATGAACTATTGAAGAAAAATAAATAACAGACTAGCCATTACAATGCCTCTATTTTTAAAATGGTTAAATTCAAAAAAAAAAAATCCTTTAAAATTTTCAGAAGAAGTAGATTTATTAACAGAAAAATGTCGTAATTCTCTTAAAAATAGAGCTAAAAAACAAATAAATGCTTTGACAAAAAAAGAAACTAATGAAGAAACTTCAGAATGCAATAATGATTTTGAATTATCTTACAAAGAAGAATACGTTGAATATAATCCTAAAATTTAAAATATATGCATGCCTTTTCTAGACCCAATCCTATAACTCAAACAGTTAGAACAAAAAACTATTATAAAAGACCAACTCACACAGTTACACAAATATCAAAGCCCCATGAAACACACACGCATCATAGGCACTGTATTAGGAAATCCCAAAGGTATAGGATATGGGACCAGTGAGAGAGAAAAACAGCACCAAAAGAATAATCCAGTCAACTCAAGTAAAACACCACTAGTATTAAAGTGCCTCGCATACCTTCCATTTCATAGTTAAACTCAAAGTATATTTAAACACATCATAGGCACCGTATGAGGCAAAGCCTAAAGGATTGTATGCAATAAAAAAGAAATTGAAACCTAAAACAATCAAGATGCGAAGTTAAATAAAAGCACTATGAAGTGAATGAATTATTGAAGCGAAATTAAATAAAAGCACTATGAAGTGAATGAATTATTGAAGCAAAATAAATAACAGATAACTCATAAAACCAGCATACATAAACCAAACAAGAAGCTGAGTACAGAATCAACCGGAACAGGGCACCAATCTAAAATGAGAGTAGAGAAAAAACATCATCCCTTCTCCATAATGGGTAAAGTACATCGTACATTGGCATTTTATTTAGGAAAAAGTTTATACAGAGCTGAGGCTCTAAACAATCAAATTAGAACCCACCTCAAAAATTTCACTAGAAGTGGTTGCTTTGATGCCCAGATATCTTCAAATTCATCATTTCAAGATCGAGATGCATGGACATGAGAAAAAAATGAATTTCAAGTTTTGGAAATAGTGCACCTTGTAATGCATTCTTTGACCATCAATTCTCAAGATTTTCAAGTTTTCAAAGATATGTTCGATCTACACTATTTTTTAAGCTTTAAATTTTATAATTAAAAATGCAATTATATTTTAAGGCTATCACAAAGATTTCCAGTATTGAAACACATTTCTTGACATTATTTGAAGGTGTGCTTTACTTTGATTGTTTAGAGCCTTGGCTCTATACAAACCATACCCTTTTATTTATCCATTAGCATTTTATTTAAACTCACTATCCAATAGATTTTTAATAGAATCTGGTGAACAATATTCTGGACATAAAAAACTTTAAGTCACTGAAAATAGCAGTGTATTAACTAAATAATTTGAAGCATTAGGATAATCAGAGAAACCATAACGTATATAACGATATAAGAACGCAATCCAGTGCACAATTTCATTTTAAAGAATAAAGATAACTGCAAATAATAATCAAAGACTAAAAAATCTATAGACAGCAGACAAATGAATTCTTCATAAATCATGCAAAATTTCAAAATTCCTAATGAACAAGCCCATTATAAGTGTATATTGTTACCGACCACGGACTTAATTTGAAAGGACAAAACAATCTGTTTTTTCACCGCCAAAATGTTTCCAAAGCCTATAACCTTCATCCATAGTGAAAAATTGCCCTAATCATAAACACAAAAAGCACAAAAATGCAAATCCGT